AGTCTAATAAAACAATCATTATCGCTTTCAGATGCTTTTTTTTATAACTATCCGGGAGACTTTAAAACTTTATAATCCATTATCGGAAACCGATCTATGTAAAAATAAAGTATTAAACATGGAAAAAAATTCTAAATAAAAGTATATTCCTTCGATTAAATTAAACATCCCGTTTTTCATCACTTTAAGTGTTTAATTACTGAACAAGAATAAAAAAAATTAAAAAAAGATGAAAGGGAGAAAAAGTATTTTTATTAATAGATTTCGTAGATAGAAAATAAATTAAAACATAAAAATATTTTGTGGAAAGGAAAAAAAAATAAAGTTTAATCTTCATGCTTGGGTGCATTTTAATTCTAAATCCATGTGAAGAATAATTGCTCAGTAAAACAGAAAAAAAGTTCTGGAATTTAAATACCGGTGCGTTGTTTATAAAAATGGGAGCTTAGTTTTTTAAACTAGATATTTACTTCAGAGAAAAAGTAATTATGATATGAATATAATTTTAAGTAAAGTATTTCCCATTTATTTTTGTTTTTACATGATATTTATGCTAAGAAAAGTATTTGAAAGTAATTATACTGGAATTATTTGTTTTTCTTTTAAGAGCGTACTAAATCAAGTAGTCTAATTTTTGACAGAAAGGAGTTTGTTTGATTTGAAAGTAATTAAGATTTTTAAAAAAATAAAATTTCCAATTTATTTCCGTGATTTTCAAAATTATTTTCAAAAGCTCTCAATAAACTGTAGACTCTGATATACATGAGAAATTTTCTTAATCTAATATAAAAATAATGGTATTATCTCCAAAAGTTTCTTGTGTGTGTGTGATGCCAGAATCATCATTTTCAAAATCTCTTTGTCTGTTTATTCTTAAATGACTTAGGTTTATCTGTCAACAGATTTGTGAGCCTTTAATATATTTAAGCAATAAGTAAGAATTTTACAAGAGGGGGTGGGTTTTACACAAAATTTTATTTTTGAAATAAATTATTTGGCCTCATTTAAGTCTTATTTAAGTATGTATGTTGTTTGTGTATTAGCATTTACATAATCCTATAGCTGCAATTCTCGTCCTTTTTTTTGTTGCGGTACACTTTAAACAATTTCTATATTTGCTGGCTAACTCATTAAAAAAAGAAGAATGAAATATATACAAATCAATCACAACCCAACAATCAATTAAAAAAATTGAAATTATATGAATCTTATAATACTAAATCCCATTTCAAAATATCAATGGCGAAAACAGAAGATAAAATTCCAACGTTTTCAGTCAGAAGTAAAAAATTATAAAATAAAAATTTATAAAATACCCAAGTGCAACCTCGGACTTACGATCGATAAGTGGGGTTAAAGTAGTTTGATGGCGCCAACCTCCCGCCTATTGCAACTTGGTAAGTTAATCGGAAGATATATCCAATTCTCAAAAGTTTGGAAATTAAAAAGTTAATCATTAAAAGAGATATACTATGTAAAATAGTTTCTGATTATAATTTCAAGCGTTAAATAAAATAATATGTACGACAAAGACAGCAAAATGTTTATTGGAAAATTAATTACTAATTAATTATAAGAATACATTTAATGTGAAACTAGCTTGAAGAATTTTGATAATTTCATTTATATTTGGTAGTAAAAATGATGACATTATCATTTCGCCATCTACATTTAAAAGTCTGGATCTTTTATTTTCATTTTTATATTTGTTAATACTGAAAATCTGAATTCACGCTAATAAGATGTAGAAAATATTGTAACAATATTTTTAAAAGCTTTTTGTCTATTACGAAATAATCGCCACTAATTTTAATCCAAAATGAATTAATTGACTTTTCCGAATGTTTTGAAATATGTTCTAGAATTTTTGCGCAGCGAAATTATGTTTTCCTTTTATTCAAAGTTAATTCATAAACAGATGTATTCTCTATCACAAATGGATTACGACTTTATTAAATTATTTATATCGATCTGTCCTCGAGAGGATAAGTTAAATATACCATGAATAATCTTCGTTTATTTCTATAAACCCCTCCGAATGGTTCGGTTCCTGCTTTTATTTCTTTCACAGAGTATAATTAATAATTTTAAAAAAAATGCCGGTACACTTCAAGAATTTCGTGGCACACAAAATAGCCGTGACACAGCGGTTGAGAATCACTGTGCTATATATTTAGGAGCTTCTGGAAGTATTTTTTAAAATAATTAGATTAAGGTATTCGAACGCATTGACAATGACCAAATTCATTCAAGACAGATATTTTTGTTTTTTTATGTTATTGAATAGATATACCTTTCGACGTTACAAAACATAATTTGTTTTGTTTCTACGCTACATAGAGGCCAAGTTACAATAATTTTATTTAAAATTTAAAAAAACCGGAAGTGGGTCTTTGGTCTACCAGAAGTGGGCATTTAAATTGCTTAAAATCTATCATGGCTAGTCTGATAACTCAAGATGTTTAAGATGTATTTCTATAAGAGTTTTTGAACGAGATATTTATATTATGTTCTAGAGGATGTACTAAAATATTTCTTATTGTAATAATACTTTTTGAGTTATGGCTTGTTACTTAAATAAGATTCTTAAAAAGAATGTAACATTTCTTATAATGTTAACTCTACCAACTCTAAAATTTTCAGATTTTAATAAATCATTTATATATTAGTACATTTTCTAGATAAATGCATCTAGTTTTTTTAGCAAATACTTTTACTAATATAATTTTATTACTTTTTTTCTAATTCATTTGTAGTTTTTTAAAAATATTGCTAAAATTTCCCTTACAATGTTTTTTTTTGTAAAATTAAGTTAATTAATTTTAAAAATTATTAGTTAAATATTAGTATTTATTGGTAACGAGACCTAAAAAAGCATTTATAATGTTTAAATGTGCTAATTTGATAAAAAGTACTCTGACCGCGTTCGGATACCTTAAAAAATATCAGATTTCAATGTCATAAACATACCGAACTTCCATAGTTCTTTAAATCTATCAATATTTAGAAATATTATTTTAAATTTTTTGATGATAAATAATAATTTAACTACACACAATATTGATAAATTTGAGAACATCCAGAAATTTATATTTTGTTTCATACAGAATGATTATCCCATCAACACTTCTTGAGAAAATACATAGATGAATAATATTTCTTAAAAATATTTTAAACTCATAAAACCACAAATCCATCACGCAGCATTAGGTCCATAAAGTCAGCTTGTTAGTAGTCCAGCTGTGAAGAATATGTGCATTTCACACACAGGATACATTTAAATAAACACATACACCAATATTTACATGACAACACTTTAAAATTATTTACGAGCAATCAAACGTTTATGACCAATTAAGCAAGTTTTTTTTGCATGCAATCTGATTTGTATCTAATACCAAATAGTTAAACTCTAATGTGAGATTATGAATCATTTGGATTGGCAAGGCATTAGTGGGAGTTATGAGCAAAATATAGGAGTGGTAATTGTTGTATTAAATATGAGAAAACGTTCAAAAATTTATGAATTGAATTATTGATAAGATGCTCTTTGGTGAGTTTTTAATAATTTACGCTATTCATTTGTGAATATACTGAGTTTTTAATTTGATATTTCAGATTTTAGATAATTTTCCTATCTATACAACTATTTTAAAGATGAGTGCATCATTTTTGGTTTTCGATGTTTCACTTATATTATGCACTTAATTGTTTTAGAATTTTAATATTTTGATGTTATAATATCTTTCAGAATGCGATGGCAAATAGTTTAATTTTTCAAGTTTAATGGTTTAATTTTAACTTTTTAATTTTTAAACTTTTGTGAATTGGATATATTTTCCGATTAACTTACTAAGTTGCAATAGGGGGGAGGTTGACGCCATCAAACTAGTTCAACCCCACTTATCGATCGTAAGTCCGAGGTTGCACTTTGGTATTTTATAAGTTTTTACTTTTGACTGAAAACATTGGAATTTTATCTTCTGTATTCGCCATTGATATTTTGAAATGGATTCAGTATTATAAAATTCATATAATTTCAATTTTTTTAATTGATTGTTGGGTTGTTATTGATTTGTATATAATTAAATATATATACATGTATATGTGTATGCGTGTATAAATGTAGGGAGAGAGTTAACTAATAGTAGGAATTGAAAAGGGAGGGACCACATTTGACAGAACTTACGCATGCTAATATTCTTATAACTTCTAGATAGTAATAATGTCGCTTTTCCTTACAATGAATGTGCCGCACAAATGTGTCGTACTCCATACACTAGAAATAGTTTTTCAACAAAAATAATGGGGTAAAACTAGCAAATCCTGTGTATTTTGTTTTTAAACTCTATTTCAACATTAAGAAATCTATTTGATTATTGTTATTTGCATTCGAAACAACCTGAGAGGTTTCGGTATTTGCTTCGGTTAAGTAACGAGGACGACGCACACATGGTTGGTCGCTCTCTAAACTTAGCTTCCACACCAATGGTAAGACTTTAATTCGTTTTATATTTAACATACTTATTCTTAACTCTAGGACTCAAGCTCCTAATTCGACAGAAGCAACGGCGTTCATGAATTTGTGACTAGGTCTATTGGTTAACCATGGTCATACGGATGTATGGAAAGAAGTTTAGGAAGGAAAATTTTAGTCGTGTGATTCTTTTACAGCCATATCTTCCCCACCATGTTCTTAAAGACGAAGGATGACAATTATCTTTTTTAATTCCAACTATTAGTTCACTCTCTCCTTACATATACATACTTATTTATTTATTTATATCTTGATCAAATTTTCAATCGTTAGTAAAATACTTTCTATTTGTCCATTCAAGTTCAAATACATTTTTTAAAACTTGTAGTGGATGACACTGGATGTTAATATAGTTTTTTCCAAATATTCATTCATTAAATAAATTTAATTAATGAATAAATAGTAAAAAAAAACAAAAATGATAGTCCAGCAGCATATATATAGAAAGGAAATCGCTTGTTGTGTCTCTGTAGCGCAATGGAGAGCGCATTGGATTTCTAATCTGAAGGTCGTGGGTTCAAATCCCACCCGGGATGGTCTAATTTCTGAGAATGTGATTTCTTTTTTGCTACATTATTTTATTAGAATAATTAAAGTTAACGAATGAATATAAAAAGTAACAAAAAAAATCCAGCACCCTATGCAGAAAGGAAAATGGAAAATATCCAGGAAAATTGCTTTCTTTTTTGTCACATAATAGTGTGGTTCTGTCCTATGTATATACATATTTATATTAATTGTAACTATTTAAAAAAAAGTGACTGATATAAAATATTTCTTTGTTGACCTAAGAAGGAATTGCCTTTTTTTAAATGTATTTATTTATTTTTATTTATATATTACTTGTTATTCTCGCAGTTGAAGATTCTAAAATAAAAATAAAATCATCTCTTATCATACTCTATCAAATTAATTTTACAAAAGAAATAAACTCAAAAAAAGTTTTAACTTCTATACTAATTGAAGACAATACTCTACACAAAGCGTTTTCTCTATTTATCAAATTAAGACGCATGCAACAACCTCTCTCTCTTCCTGATCTCCAGAGACGCCGTTAGATGGCGTTGGGTGTATCCTTCACCCATCCCGGAGTCTCCCATTACAGTGGCTGCAATTAGTTGCCGTGATTCCGGTCAATTGATTATTTGGTTTTTGTCTCCGGATAAGAGACGTGATTGTCCGTCATTCATGTCCAGTTGTTGTTTATTGGGCCATAAAAACGAAGGACTGGAAAGGAAAAGTGCCCAGCAGTAAAATAGAATAATCGTTAGAAGTCAATTATTTTAATTGATATATATATATATATATGATGCACATTTGCAGAAGTAAAAAAGAATTCAAAAACTGTGTATGCATTCGTATTTTTTGGGGTTTGTTATTGAGAAATATTTTAATTCAGAATAGAAGACTCTGGGGTGTATAATTTTGTTTTATTTGGAAATAGCATTATTGAGAACTGATGAGTTTATGGTGTATGCAATTTTTTATTTTGTGTTTTAAGGCTGAGGAAGGCAAATCGCGTGGCTCTTCCGACTTAATGAATTTTTTTAAAAAAAATATATTTATATCTACTAAAAGTTGTTTTCACTTCTCTACTTTCTTTATAAGTATATCTTGAAAAAATGTATCTCATATTTTTGTTTATAATTAAACATTTGACTGGCTGAAGTTTTCTGTATTAAATTGTTCTCCATTGATAAAGCATACAGAGAATCAGTAAAAATATTAAAATTAGATCTAAAATAGTGAAAGTCTGTGATTTATTGGTAGAATTGCTGGTATGGGATAACACTCTTCTAAGTCAACGATTCTCGGACTGTGTGGCTCCCCCTCCCCCTCTAGGGTGGCGTGATAATTCAACACGAGAACCGCCAGTTTAACAAAAATAAAAGAATGTTTAAAAAATTATTAATTTAAAGGAAGCAAAACAAAATATACATTTTGACATTATAAGAAACAAAATACACTTCTACGTCTTATGATACACAATACTCATAAACGTATCAGTAATGTATAATGTATTTGACAAACTATTTATCCATACAAACAACATAATACCTATTATATTAACTTTTATACTACCAGAGCACTTATCCTATTTTTAAGAGTGTGACTTTCTTAAAATATTACTTAAAGTAAAATATACATAATTTAGCATTTATCTTGATAAATTAGTACGGTTTATAATTAAGGTCGTATTGTAACTTAAGGCGACTTGGCACCCTTTGAGCAAACTTCTTTATTTACGTATTTAAAAATTATATTTTAGCATTTTATACAATGTTTCTGTAAGGAACCGCTGCCTGCACCTGGCAAAAGGTCGAACGAGAGACGATATAAAGAGAAGGATCTGGCAAGGACAGAGGAGAAAGGTCGGAACGGGGGAGAGAGGGAGAGCGGTGGCGAAGAAAACCGGGGTTGTGAAAAGTAGAGACGGCTGAACGATGTATCGTAATCTTGTAACATCTCAATATATTCTTTATTTTAAGAAATGTCCCATAGAAGGTGTGGAATAAACAGTGGGACAAAAACCTGTCTGCAATTATTTTCAATTCACAATACGAACACGATCAGAAAAGAACCCACAAGTTTACACTGAAAACAACGAAGGAAATCCCAGTAGTGTTCAAGTACAGAAACAGCGTTCATGTCGAGGTAAGTGGCTATTGTTCCCCTAAGTTAAAATATTGTGTGAATATTTAAAAGAGTAATGGGATGCAGTCATATTTAATTTGTTTTTTTTTTAAAAATAAAATAGAAAAAGCAGATATATCTGAAAAAAGAAAATTTCATTGGTTTATTGCAATATTCTATGTTGTTGGATTATTGTGTAGATGAAATAGGAAAATTGTGTACTTATGTTACCTGGAAGTGATAGGGTATCATTTTAAATGTTGTAAAATATTGTATTTAGAGTTCTAGTGTTAAACTATAATTTCTTTTTTATCATCATTCTTTACTGTTTTGAAGTAGTCTCACAAATTAAAATCTGGGTATAGAAAGTGTTTTGCATAACAATTCAGTTTGCAGAATTTAAAAAAAAAGAATTAGATTAATTTATCTTGAAATAATGGTTGCGAAAAATGTATGTTGAGTGGGTGAAAAATATCCATTAAAAAAAAGGGGGGGGGAAAGGAATTTCAAGTAGACGGACTTCCTGTTAAAATGTTGTAAATAAGAGATTTTGTAGGTTATTTATGACTCAGAATATGGCATGTTTTTTTGAATATTATATGATAGTTTTTCATTTTAAGCAAAAGTGTTGCAATTTGTCAGTTAGTTGATAGTTTAATGCAGTCTGAGGTTATTTCCTTTGCTCGTAATTTAGGATGCATATGTATATTGTTTTTTTTTTTGTTTCCTGCATAAGATTCTTCTTTTAATTAAAAAAAAAAAAAAAACTAAAAGTAGATTTATGATTTGAGAAATAATTCTATGGTAATGTAGCTAAAGTATGTTGTTAATTGTGTGTTTTTTTATTTTGAAAAAGGTTCTGCGTTCTGATTAGTAACAAATAACTGTGTCTCCATATAAGTATTATTGTACACATATTTCGTATTGTGTTTCTGAATTTGAGTACTCTTAGAAAAACGAGTAGAATTTTTCTTGCTTCTTAAATATATAGTACTAGGTCATTTAAGTGTTTGTAGTTAAATTTGTCAGAAGGTAATTTGGCATTAGGTTTAGCTTGATTAAAAATGACATTTCTCATTAGAAGTAAGAAAACTGACTTAATTCAATTAGCGCGGGACTTAGATGAGTCACCTGATCCGTCTATGTCTAAAATTGTTTTAAGAATTTAATAATCTCTAGTAAATATTACAAGGAGGAAGAGGCAAAAGAGTTATTGGAAGTTATTTCAGCCGAAAGGTTAGAGACAGAACAGCAGCAAAAAACTAGAACAACAAGAACAATTATCAATTGAAAAATTACGCTTGGAAATAGAATTATCTAGGAACGCAAATCAGAGTGCTACTCAAAAATAATGGTCAAACCTCACGTGTAAAATCTTTAGATGAAATAGTTAAAATGGTTAGGCTCTTAACTGTAAAGGTACCCAATAAATCAGACGGGTGGGACTATTTTTTTTCTAGTCTTGAAAAGGCTTTCGCCAGTGAAATGGTTAGCGACGAGTTCAAACCGAAGGTTTTGTTATGCATGTTAGGAGACAAAGTGTCAAACTTATTAGTTAACCTAGGCGAAGAAGAATTAAAAGATTACGAATCTTTAAAACAGGTTGTGCTCAAGGAGTATGAACCCTCACCCCAAAAATATGTTTAGAAAATTTTAGAAAGGCCAAACGTAACTTTGACGAAACTTTCTCTCAGTTCGTGTCCCGTTTAACATCGATGCGGTTATACTACTGTAAGTTAAGAGGTGCGAATGATTTTGAGTCAGTTAATCAACTGATCGTAGCAGATAAAATGTTTGAAATGTTGGATTCTGAGACGGCGACCCATATTGGTGTGCTCCAAGGGGAAGAATGGTACAAACCCAGGGACTTGGGCAAACAAAGTGATATATTTTACGCTTCCAAAGGGAAATCCTACGATGAACCTGAAAGAGCTAAATAGAATGATAGTGAAAAGAGAAGTTTTAATGGTAGTGGGGGTAAACAGCCATTTGGGGAGAAAAAGTCAGATAATTTTTCTTCTAGGAAAAACTTTGATAAAGTTCAAGTAACTGAACTTAAAAATTCGCTTGTTTCACCTGCGGATCAGATAAACATTTTAAGCGGGATTGTCCGAAAAACAAAGAGGTAGATAATAAAAGACTTAATGAGAATAAGGTGTCAACAGAAGGGACGGAATTGGTAGATGGGACGGTAGCTGCTAGAGTTGATTTGCTAGGTAAAGTCATTCCTAGGGGGGCTATTGAAGACAAATTAAGTAAATTAGTGAAAACATCTATCAGTGTAGATGGGAAATTAGTTCATGCTTTAGTGGATTCTGGTACGGAAATTACTGTTATCAAGAAAGACTTAGTTCCTAGAATCTCGGATGAAGGAGCTTCCACGATTTATTTGAAAGGTATTTTCGGTCCAGCGGTTAAATGTCCTTTAGTATATGTTCCAATTGGTCTTGCTACCGGTGGCCAGGTTAATGTGGTGCACCAGCAAGTGTTATGTGCTTTGGCAGAAGTTTTGGTAGAAGACGTGTTGCTTCCACCAGATGTTTTGGATATGTTGAGAGGAGTCCAGAGTGAAGAGAATTCACTAGCTCAAAGCTCTCTGGACCTGAGGGTTGACTCAGGAAATGTAGATGAAACCGAAGTTTCATTGGGTATTCTGCCAGAGGAAGCACAGGAGCACATTGAGGATTCTCAAAGGAATATTACTTCATGTCGGAATGAAGTGGGAACATTGGGTACTAAGGATGAGGAGGTGACCGCTGAGATGGATAAAGGAAGCATGGTGGCTGATAGTTTTCGTTCCGAACAGGAGGGTTGTGCCGAGTTAGCACTATGCTAAGGAAGGCAAAGGAAACTACTATGAAGTAGATGGGTATCTATTTCATAGAGATAAAATACTCGGGGA